ACAAATAACTAAAACAAATAAATAACATAAACTACCACAAAAGATGTAAAAATATTTTGGCCAATAACAACAACAACAAAAAAAAGAAAGTGACCACTTTAGCTGTCAAAATGAATTTATTACTCTATCCCCCGTAAATAAAATAAAAAACAAAAACTAAAAGGAAAACACTAAACAAAGGATGATGGTCAATAGGTTAGATTTTGGGGTTTTTTATATAGAATATGATAACAAAAAACATAAAGGGCAAAGAGTGTATTAGTGTGTGTCAATTTTGAGTAAGAGTGTATGTGTTAACTTAATATTTATGGTCCATAAAGGATTAAATAATTTATGAATCAAAACAACAGGCAGGCAACAACAACAAAACGATAGATTGAAGCTACAAACAACAAGGCCTTTAGTTGAAAGTTTGTATAGGGAAGGGGTAAAACACCTCGTACTCTTTATACGGCTTAAAACGAAAAATAGTACTTTTTTGAAAAATACTTTTTAACACCAATAACTTTCAGATAATAAAAAACTTGTTATTTTGTAACTTTTTAGCAAATTTAAAAAAAGTTGTAGAAATACTACTTTTTTAAAGTTTGAAAAATCTTTCATTTACAACAACTAGTTATAAATGATATAAAACTGGTAACTTTGTTACTTTTTAGCTAATTTAAAAAAGTACTTGAAATACTACTTTTTTTCAAAAAGTTCTTCTTGGCACTAAAATACTATTTATATAAAGAAATTTGCATATAATAATGGAAAAAAATAAATATTTTTAGCTTTTTTAAAAAAGTAGTAAAAATACTACCTTTTTCGAAAGTTGCTTTTGGTACTAAAATACTGATTTTGATTAAAAATATTATTTAATGCTAAAGAATAGTGGAAATATTCATTTTTTGTTAATTTTAGAAAAATGTACAAAAAATACTACCTTTTTAAAAAGTACTTTTTGTTATTAAAGTAAAATTTTTAAGAAAGAATATTGTATGTACCAAAAATGCAAGAATTAAATAAGTAATTTGTTTTTATTTTTGAAAAAAGTAGTAAAAATGCTACTTTTTGTAAAAGTAATTTTTGGCATTCAAATATAAATTTTCATAAAACATTATATTTTATGGTTGAAAATAATGGAAATATTACTTTTTTGTCAATTTTATAAAAAAACGTAGTAAATATACTACTTTTTTAAAAAGTACTTTTTTTCAAGTGAAATATTATTTTTAAGAAAGAAAATTGTTTGTACCAACGAACAGGAGTAAAATTATTTATTTTTTTACGTTTCTTTAAAAAAGTAGGAAAAAAACTACCTTTTTTAAAAGTAAACTTTGCCCTAAAATACAGATTTTTCTTAAAAATGTTATTTTATGGTAAAAATAGTGGAAATAGTACGTTTTTTGTTAATTTAAAAAAGTAGTAAAAATACTACTATTTTAAAAAAGTACTTTTTTTCAATTGAAATATAATTTTTAAGAACAAAAATTGTTTGTAAGAACAAAAAAGAGTAAAATAATTAAATTTTTTACATTTCTTTAAAAAAGTAAATTTTTTTTAAAAGTAAATTTTTCTCTAAAATACATACATATTTTCCTCAAAAATTTGATTTTATGTTTAAAAATAGTTGAAATAATACTTTTTTTATTAATTTAAAAAAGTAGTAAAAATACTACTATTTTAAAAAGGTACAATTTTGCATTGAAATAAAAGTTTTTAAGAAAGAAAATTGTTAGCACCAACGAACAAGAGTAAAACAATTATTTTTTACATATTTTAAAAAAAGTATTAAAATACTACTTTTTTAAAAAATATACTTTTTGGCATTAAAAAGCAAATTTTCATTACAAACTATATTTGAGGGCCAAAATAGTAAGAAAATTACTTTTTTAAAAGAAGTAGTTTTTGGCACTAAAACTACGTTTCTGTAGGCCTTGATGTAATAATGACTATTTCAACCACTTTTACCTGTTTTTCAGTTTTGAGTTCATTTTGTTATTAATTCCTTTGAGATAGAATATCTAAACAACTATAAATGTCTCGGGAGTTTTTACAAAACTAATATTTATGTTTATTAAACTGAAAATAACATAAAAAGGTCAACGAAAAACACACACAATAAACTAAGGATTAAAAAAAAATAAAAACATAAACCTTAAAATAAAATTTAAACAAAAATTTTCACACAAATTTAAATTTAAACAAAACAAGGGAAAGGGAAATCATAAGAAATTTTTGTTATTTTATTACTTTAATTAAATATATTGTTGAAATCTGTAATATATTAAAAAAAACCTACTTTAGAAAATATAAAAACTTTCTTTAAAAAACACCTGTATAAAAAAAATTTTGCTAGTAAGTGAAAAAATTTATACAAAAAGAATAAACTTGTAAATAAAGCTATAGTTTGTAAACTGTAAACATATTATAATATTATATATATATATATAAAAAAACTAATATTAAATTACTAACTAACTTAAGTTATCTTACAAAAGTAAACAATGAACCTTATTAACCCCTCTTTTCTGTTTTTTAATTAATAAGTATAACAACTACAATATTATTATATAAACAAAAATAAATACTTTAAACACAATAAATTTAAATAAAAATAAAATTAGTTAAACTAAACAAGAAAAACATGAAATAATAACACTTTAAATATATTTAACAATAAAAAAACGTAAAAACGCCCTTAGTAAATTGTACAAAAAAAAATTATAAAAAACAAAAAAATAAGCTCAATAAAAAAAAATTGAAATAAAAAATATAAAAGTAGTGTTTGTTTTAGTTAGTACATGTTAAAAATTTAGTTTAATTTTATTAGTTGTTATAAAATTTTTATTTATATATAAGTTTTTATTATTATTTGTTTAATAAAATACTTTTTAAAATCCTTTATTATAGTGATCCCCTAAAAGTAGGCTACGTATTATATGACTAATAGTTCTATAAAATAAAATATGCGGAAGTAGTAGTAGTTGTAATGAACGTTCTTTGTTTAATAATATTGTTATCGTTTATTGTAGATTGTTTAAATCAAAAAAACAAACACAACTTAAAAGTTTCAGTTCTAGTTCAGTTCTAGTTCAGTTCTAGTTCAGTTCTAGTTCAGTTCTAGTTCAGTTCTAGTTCAGTTCTAGTTCAGTTCTAGTTCAGTTCTAGTAGTTCAGTTCTAGTTCAGTTCTAGTTCAGTTCTAGTTCAGTTCTAGTTCAGTTCTAGTTCAGTTCTAGTTCAGTTCTAGTTCAGTTCTAGTTCAGTTCTAGTTCAGTTCTAGTTCAGTTCTAGTTCAGTTCTAGTTCAGTTCTAGTTCAGTTCTCAGTTCTAGTTCAGTTCTAGTTCAGTTCTAGTTCAGTTCTAGTTCAGTTCTAGTTCAGTTCTAGTTCAGTTCTAGTTCAGTTCTAGTTCAGTTCTAGTTCAGTCTAGTTCAGTTCTAGTTCTGTTCTAGTTCTGTTCTAGTTCTGTTCTAGTTCTGTTCTAGTTCTGTTCTAGTTCTGTTCTAGTTCTGTTCTAGTTCTGTTCTAGTTCTGTTCTAGTTCTGTTCTAGTTCTGTTCTAGTTCTGTTCTAGTTCTGTTCTAGTTCTGTTCTAGTTCTGTTCTAGTTCTGTTCTAGTTCTGTACTAGTTCTGTTCTAGTTCTGTTCTAGTTCTGTTCTAGTTCTGTTCTAGTTCTGCTCTAGTTCTGTTCTAGTTCTGTTCTAGTTCTGTTCTAGTTCTGTTCTAGTTCTAGTTCAGTTCTAGTTCAGTTCTAGTTCAGTTCTAGTTCAGTTCTAGTTCAGTTCTAGTTCAGTTCTAGTTCATTTCTAGTTCATTTCTAGTTCAGTTCTAGTTCAGTTCTAGTTCTGTTCTAGTTCTGTTCTAGTTCTGTTCTAGTTCTGTTCTAGTTCTGTTCTAGATCTATTCTAGTTCTGTTCTAGTTCTGTTCTAGTTCTGTTCTAGTTCTGTTCTAGTTTTGTTCTAGTTCTGTTCTAGTTCTGTTCCAGTTCTGTTCTAGTTCTGTTCTAGTTCTGCTCTAGTTCTGTTCTAGTTCTGTTCTAGTTCTGTTCTAGTTCTGTTCTAGTTCTGTTCTAGTTCTGTTCTAGTTCTGTTCTAGTTCAGTTCTAGTTCAGTTCTAGTTCAGTTCTAGTTCAGTTCTAGTTCAGTTCTAGTTCAGTTCTAGTTCATTTCTAGTTCATTTCTAGTTCAGTTCTAGTTCAGTTCTAGTTCTGTTCTAGTTCTGTTCTAGTTCTGTTCTAGTTCTGTTCTAGTTCTGTTCTAGATCTATTCTAGTTCTGTTCTAGTTCTGTTCTAGTTCTGTTCTAGTTCTGTTCTAGTTTTGTTCTAGTTCTGTTGTAGTCTTATTCTAGTTCAGTTTTACAATATCAAAATATCTTTGAGTGTAACAAAGAACCATTAAAAAATACCAAAATATAATCTGTCTTCACACTCTTTTTAAATATGTACTTTGCTAAAGACTCTCTTCCCTTTAGACAAAATATTTTTTCAAAACAAAGAATATTCAGCACACAAAAAAACTAGCAAATTATGCAAATGCATAAAAATTTGATTTATGTGCTTGTTTTTTTTTCTAGCAGCTAAACATTTCGTACAAACAAAATAATGAACAAAAAGCACAAGCGTTAAAAATTTACTTTAACATACATACTAACAGGAAAAAAATTCCACTACTTGGCTTTGGCAGTATTTTTTTTTATTCCCACAATTTTATTGTTTTCCTGAGGCAAGATTTTCTTTTATTTCCTTTTTTGTTATTTTTCAGTTTTATATAAAAATTTTCTTGTTTGTTTTTTTTTTAGTTGTGCTGATTTTCCCTCTAGTTTTTTGTTCCTTTTTTGTTAATGCAATTAACCTAAATTAAATTGTTTGTTGTTTTTTGGCTTTTGTGGGAATATAAATTATTTGTGTGTTTTTTTTCTTATATTTTTTTGCATACAACAAAACAACAACTATAATAACTACAACAATTTTAACACTATAAAAATAAAACCAAATAAAAAAACAATAATCTACAGAAGCCTTGCGAGTTAAAGTACAATGGGTAAGTACGCAAGTTTTTTTTATATATTGTATATTTAACTATAAAAATAAACCAGCAGCATTATTTACCATAATAAATAAAATGTTTGAGTATTAACCAAGTTACAAAAAAAGCCATAAATTTCAATAAAGATTTTGAACGGGAAAACTAACACGCCTTAAAATATGTGTGTCAGTTAAATGTATAAAAAATCAATGTTTTCATTTATGAAAAAATCTCTTAAGAAAATGTTTTGCTTTTTATGAATTAAAGCACGTAGGCGTATACGCATCACATTTATTATTAAAATGTCATTAATCATTTAAAAGAGAACATGAAATCCGGCTATGAAATCTGGGCTAATAATGACAGCATATAATTTAAGCAGCAAGGTTGTTGCAAATTGTTTCCTTAGGGTATAAAATCTTGATATAATATTGGAATATTAAACGCTTTTTAAACCTTATTTAAAACTTTTCATTTTTCAATTTCTTTAAAACTAGAACTGAACTAGAACTGAACTAGAACTGAACTAGAACTGAACTAGAACTGAACTAGAACTGAACTAGAACTGAACTAGAAGTGAACTAGAACTCAACTAGAACTAAACTAGAACTGAACTAGAACTGAACTAGAACTGAACTAAAACTGAACTAGAACTGAACTAGAACTGAACTAGAACTGAACTAGAACCTGAAGAACTAGAACTGAACTAGAACTGAACTAGAACTGAACTAGAACTGAACTAGAACTGAACTAGAACTGAACTAGAACTGAACTAGAACTGAACTAGAACTGAACTAGAACTGAACTAGAACTGAACTAGACTGAACTAGAACTGAACTAGAACTGAACTAGAACTGACTAGAACTGACTAGAACTGAACTAGAACTGAACTAGAACTGAACTAGAACTGAACTAGACTGAACTAGAACTGAACTAGAACTGAACTAGAACTGAACTAGAACTGAACTAGAACTGAACTAGAACTGACTAGAACTGAACAGAACTGAACTAGAACTGAACTAGAACTGAACTAGAACTGAACTAGTACTGAACTAGAACTGAACTAGAACTGAACTAGAACTGGAACTAGAACTGAACTAGAACTGAACTAGAACTGAACTAGAACTGAACTAGAACTGAACTAGACTGAACTAGAACTGAACTATACTGAACTAGAACTGAACTAGAACTGAACTAGAACTGAACTAGAACTGAACTAGAACTGAACTAGAACTGAACTAGAACTGAACTAGAACTGAACAAGAGCTGAACTAGAGCTGAACTAGAACTGAGCTAGAACTAAACTAGAACTGAACTAGAACTGAACTAGAACTGAACTAGAACTGAACTAGAACTGAACTAGAACTGAACTAGAAATGAACTAGAAATGAACTAGAAATGAACTAGAACTGTACTAGAACTGAACTAGAACTAGAACTGAACTAGAACTGAACTAGAACAGAACTAGAAATGAACTAGAAATGAACTAGAAATGAACTAGAAATGAACTAGAACTGTACTAGAACTGAACTAGAACTGAACTAGAACTGATCTAGAACTGAACTAGAACTGAACTAGAACTGAACTAGAACTAAACTAGAACTGAACTAGAACTGAACTAGAACTGAACTAGAACTGAACTAGGACTGAACTAGAACTGAACTAGAACTGAACTAAAACTGAACTAGAACAGAACTAGAAATGAACTAGAACTGAACTAGAACTGATCTAAAACTGAACTATAACGGAACTAAAACTGAACTAGAATTGAACTATAAATGTCGCAAACCTATTTTTTCTCTTTTATTTAAAATTACATATCCACTAAATTAAACTGATTTCAAGATAAAAGTTAATTAAAATACTGCCCCCAAGTCTCTGCCCCACAAACTTTACGTGATTTCTCACGATTTCTTAGCTGGAAAAAGGTCACAATTAATAGCTGATTTATTTATGACGCTTTACAGCAACAAAACATTCATACTCCAGTGTTATTTTCATAATTAATAGAGTTCTTATCGTACAATAACATTTTGCAATTTAGTCATAAATTTAAAACACAAACATTTTATTAACTGCGTATTTTGAAAGCAAAAAAAAAAAACTCATACCTTTTAATAAACAATTTTTTAGATTTTATTTAGATTTACCTTGATATTTTTCTATTTCTCCTCTTTCTAACACTTAAAATAGGCCTACGAATTTTAATTGCTCGAGAAGTCTATCGCACCATACAAGAACAGTCTCAAGTCAACGAGGACATGGAGGAGACGGACGTAGTCCAGCAATTATTTATTTAGATGAGTAATTGGCACGACATATTGTTGTACTTAAAGAAGGGCTAACGCAAAAGTTTTTGTAATTTTAAAAATAAGCAACAATTGTTAGAAATAAAGTTAACCTACATTTGGGAATGTTTTGGATGCAAAAGGTCAACTGGTTGATGGTGAGGACTTCAACACATTTGTAAACACGTCAATAACTGGTAACCAAAAAAATTACAAGCAGCAGTGCAGTTTATTAAATTGAGAAAAAAAACTTCTTAAAAATGTTAGAAATTAATTTAACATGTTCTAAGCTGCGTGTTATTTGGCAATTAAATCTATTAATGTTTTAAATAAAAAAGCACACATTATATTTTTTGGTTTTTGTAAATGTTTAAGTTGTAACAAAGATTTTTTTTATAAAATATTTAGAAAACTCAAGAAAAAAACCAAACCTAGGAAAGTTTTTGAACTAATACAAAACTTTTTCTTAGAGTTGTGGGTATTTTTTCTGCAAGTATTTATTATTTACTGTAAGTATTTATTTTTATTACTTTTTATTTGATTTTTTTTTTTTTTTTTGAGGCCAAAAATGCCATATACAATTTAGTGTTTAGCATTAATTAAAATTTATGTTCATAGTTAAAGAAACTAATAAACAACAAAAAAAATCTAAATAAATGTAACAAAATAAAGCAATAAATGAACGCAAATACTAAATGAAAAACAAACGCTCATAAAAACTAATTAAATTAGATTATTTCCGTTACTAATTAATGGTTAAAATGGTCATGCTGTGTGGGGGCAGAGAAAAGCGGTGGTCTTTATTACAATTTCGTGAATTCCTTAAACAAATTGTAACAACTTAAAGCCTACATAAACACGAACGGAGCAGAGAATGGGATTTACTGAATTATGGTCAATCACAAATAAATAAATGTTAAAAAAATAAACATAAAATTTAATAGATATTGTTTAATTTGTTGGAATGTTAGAAAGAAATAAAATTTAATGAAAATATTTTTCAATAAAGGAAAAGGAAAAAGAGAAGAAATGCGCTAAAAAAGGTAGGTATTAGATGGCTATAAAAGTAAGTATTGTGTGATGAAAATTAAACGGATATTAAGCTAAAAATAATACATATCTTGTGTTGCAAACGCTATTCTAATTTAAGCCTTTAGTTCTCATTGTGGATGTGACAGTAGATGCAAAAGATTATGGGTATTAGATAGCCAATTCTCCTAGCTTTCATATGACACTAATTTCTTTAAAATATCTCCACAACTTTGTGACTTATGTATAAATTAGTAAAACAGTCCAATGACCTTAAAGCAAAACTTTTAATGCTTATGATAGTTTCAGTTATACTGCTATAGCTGCTATATAAATACGAGTATCAACTTGAAACTTGACACACAGATAGGAAATATAATCCTCATTAAAATGGTGGAAACAAAAATCTGTAAAACTGTTTAGAGTTTGTGTAATAAGCGTTTTTATACTTTACGCCTTAATTTCTAATAAAGGGCGTGGCAGTAGGCGGAAAATTTTTCATCAATTAGAAAGCTCATATTTCAAGCTTTCATATGAACTCAATTTTTCTGAAATTTTCCAAAAATTGCCGAAGTTATAAGTAAAATTCTAAAATAGACATTGGGAAAATTACTTGCTACCAGGTTCTGTTCACCTATTAGTTCACAAAAAAAACAAAAATTTATTTTTGCCAATTTTTGGGGAATTCAAGGTGCCGCGCTTTTAACGCTATAACTTCTCTATTAAGCAGCCAAATGCTGTGAAATTTGGCATGAAGCTAGAGCAGGAAGTTGACTTTCGTATGGTTTAACTAAAAACTCGCTTAGCACTTTAAGCTTGTTTTGTAAGCGTTTTTTATTTTAGTCCTTTAAATTTAAAATGTTGTTGTGGATTTTTAGGAAAAATTTTACATTCATGAAATAGCACGTTTTCCATTCTATCCGATAGTAAAAACTTCATTCCAATATCGTTCATACTTTGGGAGCTATGCTTAAATTATTGAAATAGTTCTTGGGACACAAAATTAAACATAAAACGCTCCCAACTGTTTTAGTTATTTGTTAATAACTTCGGTAAAAGGGGAGATATCGACTTAAAATTTCACATGCAGAGAGAGAAATACATGGCCTTGACGATAATGGAAAATAAATTTGGAAAAAGTATTAGCTTGAATGTTTTAAGCGTTTTTATATTTAAAGCTTTAATTTCAATTAGAAAACGTGACAGTAGATGAAAAAAGTTCATTGTGTGAAATAGCCAGTTTTCCATTCTATTCGACTGTAAAAACCTCATTCCAATATCTCTCATACTTCGGAAGATATGCTTAAATTAGTTAAATACTTAATGGGATATCAACTTAGAGATAAAACGCTCCCGAGTCTTTTAGTTATTTGTTAATAACATCGGTAAAAAGGAAGTTATTGACTTGAATTTTCACATATAGATATAAAATTAATTGGCCTTGACGATGATGTAATATAAGTTTGGAAAAATTATTAGCTTGATTGTTATAAGCGTTTTCATAATTTAAGGCTCAATTTATAACAGTGGGCGTGGCAGCAGATGGAAAAAGTTTATTGCGTTGGATAGCTAAATTCTCAAGCTTTCATATGAAATAAATTTTATCAAAATACTTGTACAATTTTGGAATTTATGTGTAATTTAGTAAAACAGTCTAATGTCAATAATGCAAAACATTCAGCGCTTTTAATAGTTTCTGTTAAAGTGCTATAGCTTCCATATAAATGTTAGTATCAGCTTGAAACTTAACACATAGATAGAATATACAATTCCCATTAAATTGGTGGAAACAAAAATTTGTATAAAGTGTTTCTTATTCGTGTTACAAGCGTTTTCCTACTTTACGCCTTAATTTCTAATAGTGGGCGTGGCAGTAGGCGGAAAACTTTTCATCAATTAGAAAGCTCATATTTCAAGCTTTCATATGAACTCAATTTTTCTGAAATTTGCCAAAAATTGCCGAAGTTATAAGTAAAATTCTAAAATACACATTGGGAAAATTACTTGCTACCAGGTTCTGTTCACCTATTAGTTCACAAAAAAACAAAAATTTATTTTTGCCAATTTTTGGGGAAATCAAAGCGCCGCGCTTTTATCGTTACAACTGCTACATTAGTCAGCTAAATGCCTTAAAATTTGGCATGCTGCTAGATCAGGAACTGGGCTTTCGTATGGTTAAACTCAAAACTCGCTTAACACTTTCAGCTTGTTTTGTAAGCGTTTTTAATTTTAGTCCTTCAAATTTGAAATGTTGTTGTGGATTTTGGGGAAAAATTTTACACTCTGGAAATAGCTTCTTTTCCATTCTATCCGATAGTAAAAACTTCATTCCAATATCGCTCATACTTTGGGAGCTATGCTTAAATTATTGAAATAGTTCATGGGACACAAAATTGCACATAAAACGCTCCCAACTGTTTTAGTTAATTGTTAATAACTTCGGTAAAATAGGAGCTATCGACTTGAAATTTCACATGCAGAGAGAGAAATAAATGGCCTTGACGATAATGGAAAATAAATTTGGAAAAAGTATTAGCTTGAATGTTTTAAGCGTTTTTATATTTAAAGCTTTAATTTCAATTAGAAAACGTGACAGTAGATGAAAAAAGTTCATTGTGTGAAATAGCCAGTTTTCCATTCTATTCGACTGTAAAAACCTCATTCCAATATCTCTCATACTTCGGAAGATATGCTTAAATTAGTTAAATACTTAATGGGATATCAACTTAGAGATAAAACGCTCCCGAGTCTTTTAGTTATTTGTTAATAGCATCGGTAAAAAGGAAGTTATTGACTTGAATTTTCACATATAGATATAAAATTAATTGGCCTTGACGATGATGTAAAATAAGTTTGGAAAAATTATTAGCTTGAGTGTTATAAGCGTTTTCATAATTTAAGGCTCAATTTATAACAGTGGGCGTGGCAGTAGATGGAAAAAGTTTATTGCGTTGGATAGCTAAATTTTCAAGCTTTCATATGAAATAAATTTTATCAAAATACTTGTACAATTTTGGAATTTATGTGTAATTTAGTAAAACAGTCTAATGTCAATAATGCAAAACATTCAGCGCTTTTAATAGTTTCTGTTAAAGTGCTATAGCTTCCATATAAATGTTAGTATCAACTTGAAACTTAACACATAGATAGAATATACAATTCCCATTAAATTTGTGGAAACAAAAATTTGTATAAAGTGTTTCTTATTCGTGTTACAAGCGTTTTCCTACTTTACGCCTTAATTTCTAATAGTGGGCGTGGCAGTAGGCGGAAAATTTTTCATCAATTAGAAAGCTCATATTTCAAGCTTTCATATGAACTCAATTTTTCAGAAATTTGCCAAAAATCGCCGAAGTTATAAGTAAAATTCTAAAATACACATTGGGAAAATTACTTGCTACCAGGTTCTGTTCACCTATTAGTTCACAAAAAAACAAAAATTTATTTTTGCCAATTTTTGGGGAATTCAAGGTGCCGCGCTTTTAACGTTATAACTTCTATATTAAGCAGCCAAATGCTTCGAAATTTGGCATGAAGCTAGAGCAGGAAGTTGACTTTCGTATGGTTTAACTAAAAACTCGCTTAGCACTTTAAGCTTGTTTTGTAAGCGTTCTTAATTTTAGTCCTTCAAATTTGAAATGTTGTTGTGGATTTTGTGGAAAAATTCTACACTCATGAAATAGCTTATTTTCCATTCTATCCGATAGTAAAAACCCCATTCCAATATCGCTCACATTTTGGAAGCTATGCTTAATTTCGTTAAATAGTTCATGGGACACAAAATTGTACATAAAACGCTCCCAACTGTTTTAGTTATTTGTTAATAACTTCGGCAAAAAAGGAGCTATTGACTTGAAATTTCACATACAGAGAGAGAGAAATAATGGCTTTGACGATGGTGGAAAATAAATTTGGAAAAAGTATTAGCTTGAGTGTTTTAAGCGTTTTTATGTTTAAAGCTTTAATTTCAATTAGTAAACGTGACAGTAGATGGAAAAAGTTCATTGTGTGAAATAGCCATTTTTCCATTCTATCCGATAGTAAAAACCTCAATCCAATATCGCTCACACTTCCGAAGCTATGCTTAATTTAGTTAAATAGTTAATGGGACATCAAATTAAAGATAAAACGCTCCCGAGTGTTTTAGTTATTTGTTAATAACTTTGGCAAAAAGGGAGTTATTGACTTGAAATTTCACATATAGAAAGAGAATTAACTGGTCATGACGATGATAGAAAACAAATTTTGAAAAATCATTAGATTAAGGTTTATAAGCGTTTTCATATTAAAAGCTTTAATTTATAATAGTAGGCGTGGCAGCAGATGGAAAAAGTTTATTGCGTTAGATAGCTAATTTCGCAAGCTTTCATATGAAATAAACTTTGTTAAAATATTTTTACAATTTTGGATGTTATGCGTAATTTAGTAAAACAGTCCAATAACCATAATGCAAAACTTTTAATGCTTTTAATAGTTTCGGTTAAAGTGCTATAGCTTCTAGACTAAAGCCAATATCATCTTCAAATTTTACA